AGCAGTACAGTGGTGACATCACCAAATCTCACTCCAAAACTGCTAAGACTAGCATTCAGAGGCAGCAGTGCCTTAGATAATCTTACACTGCAGATATACAGCTATGAGGCTGTAGGCCCAGTAAGTGCACTGCTGAAAGGAATTCAAGACAAACAGTTTCATTTACATTTTACTGCTTAGGCACAATAAACATTTCTAGATGTCCCCTACAAAATAGTAAATCTTAGTTATTTTTTAGTTTGTGTCCATTTTAACATTTAACCCATAAAACTCTAGACTCACCTTATTAACTCTGAATTATCACAGTACCACATTAAATGCAATGGCAACGTATTCACCTGCTTTTAGAGATTTTATGTACGTCTGAAGATCTTAAAGTGAAAACTCAAAATGTAACATAATGGAGCTTACCAATCATTAGATGTGCTGGTCTGGCTAGTAACACATGTCTTGTATTAGGGTGGTTCCACTCTCGATGAAGGAGCAACAGAGTCACCTTTGGACAGCAGAATTGTCAGTCTGAGGGAGGGGAGTGTTGGATGCACTAGCAGATTTAAACAGTATGTGAACCCTCACCTTATAAAACAACCCATTCTGTTTAAAATAAAAATGAAAGGCAAAGCATTTGTGTATTTGTTAAAAAAAACCCCCAACATTCTAAATACCTTTTTTGTGAATACATAATCTCTGTTCTCAGCTGCATAAAGGGTATGGAGAGGTGGGAGTGGAAAATGCAGGGTGGGAGCAGTGTCAGCAGGAGGCAAAGAAACAGCAGTATACTGATCTTTCCAGTGAGTGGCTGTGCTGATAGTTGCATCAACACAAGTCTAATCATTGAAAGGCAGGCTGTTCTCTCAGCCAACCTAGAAAACTGACCATACTGGGATGGATGTGCACCCATGCCTAGTGTGGTCAGTTTGAATCACCAGGAATTTCACACAAAGGAAGCAATGCAAAAATAATAGGATACTTTTTAATACAAATATATGTTACAACAAATACATATCAGGAATATAAAATGAGGTGGTAACAAAATCTTTAAATACACTAACTGTAAGAGATTCTGTATATAGATTGTACGCTCCTTGAGGGTAGGGACTGATGTGAATGTACAATATATGTAAAGTGCTGTGTAAATTGATGGTGCTATATAAGTATCTGTAATAAAAAAAATACCCCTACAGAACAAACAGTGCACAGTCCACATGTTTATCTGCTACGTTTCTACAAACAGAAACCAGGAACTTTTATTCAGAGAAAAGTCATAGAGTATACAGTAAACACCACCATCTACTGGTTGAAGAATATACAGTGGGGATCGAAAGTTTGGGCACCCCAGCTAAAAATTTGTATTAATGTGCATAAAGAAGCCAAGGAAAGATGGAAAAATCTCCAAAAGGCATCAAATTACAGATTAGACATTCTTATAATATGTCAACAAAAGTTAGATTTTATTTCCATCATTTACACTTTCAAAATAACAGAAAACAAAAAAATGGCGTCTGCAAAAGTTTGGGCACCCTGCAGAGTTAATATCTTGTATTGCCCCCTTTGGCAAGTATCACAGCTTGTAAACGCTTTTTGTAGCCAGCCAAGAGTCTTTCAATTCTTGTTTGAGGTATCTTTGCCCATTCTTCCTTACAAAAGTCTTCCAGTTCTTTGAGATTTCTGGGCTGTCTGTCACGCACGGCTCTTTTAAGGTCTAGCCATAGATTTTCAATTATGTTGAGGTCAGGAGATTGTGAAGGCCATGGCAAAACCTTCAGTTTACGCCTCTTGATGTAATCCCCGTGGATTTCCAGGTGTGTTTAGGAACATTATCCATTTGTAGAAGCCATCCTCTCTTTAACTTCAGCTTTTTCACAGATCGCATCAAGTTACCATCCAAAATTTGCTGAAATTTTATTGAATCCATTTTTCCTTCTACTCGTGAAATGTTCCCTGTGCCACTGGCTGCAACACAACCCCAAAGCATGATTGATCCAACCCCATGCTTAACAGTTGGACAGAGGTTCTTTTCATTCAATTCTGTGCCCCTTCTTCTCCAAACGTACCTGTCAGGGCTCCCAGGTATGACCAGAGATGTGTGACTGATGCAGGGAAACGCAGACTTCAGAAATGTGATAAACAATATAATTTATTAACACTAACCATACAAACATAAACGCAGGGCAATAGTAAACATAATACAGTGCAAACAAACCAAACCAACCACCCACAGATAACAGTACATACAAGCAAGCGTCGTCAGGCAGGCCGGGTCAATATCAATTGGGCAGGTAGGTACGGGGGGAGCAAGCAGAGAATGGTCGGGGTCACAGGCCAGGTTCAGCAGGGTAGCAAGCAGCGAGGTACAGAGGGTCAGACAGAGGGGTGGTCAGGGTCACAAGCCAGGATCAGAGCAGGAGAAGTCAGCAGCAGTTCAGATCAGGGTCAGCGAAGGAACAGAAACAGGATGCAGGACAGATACAGGGCCCAGGACAAACACAACACCAAGGCAGAGTCTGCAAGTCTGGCCATCCCTTAAATACCCCAGTATCATCAGTTCCAGGTGTTAGCTGGCTGAAAGGTTGAGTCTCTGATTGCTGGGAGCACCCGCTGGCCAGCCCTGGTACTGCAGATCAAAAAGGCAGGTGAGTCCCACCATTGCTGGCCAGTCCATTCCTAACAGTACCCCCCCCTCAAGGAGCGGCCTCAGGACGCTCCAAACAGTCCTAGCTGGGCAAAATGTTCCACCGCCCGGGTCTGGCAACTGGCGGGATAGCAAAGACTGGCACACCGGGCAGGACTCCGGCAGCGGCACACCGGGCTGGACTCCGGGCAGCGGCACATCGAGCAGAGGCACCCTGGGCAGAGGCACACCGGGCAGGACTCCGGGCAGAGGCACATCGGGCAGGACTCCGGGCAGAGGCACATCGGGCAGGACTCCCAGGCAGAGGCACATCGGGCAGAGGCACATCGGGCAGAGGCACATCGGGCAGAGGCACATCGGGCAGAGGCACATCGGGCAGGACTCCGGGCAGAGGCACATCGGGCAGGATTCCGGGCAGAGGCACATCGGGCAGGACTCCGGGCAGAGGCACATCGGGCAGGACTCCGGCAGAGGCACATCGGATTACCAGGCGTAGCAGCAGGCACCGGGCCCCGGGCGGAGCTGCAGGCACCGGGCCCCCGGGGCGGAGCTGCAGGCACCGGGCCCCCGGGCGGAGCTGCAGGCACCGGGCCCCCCGGGCTGCAGGCACCGGGCCCCCGGGCGGAGCCTGCAGGCACCGGCCCCCCCGCGGCGGAGCTGCAGGCACCGGGCCCCGGGCGGAGCGGCAGGCACCGGGGGCCCCGGGCGGAGCGGCAGGCACCGGGCCCCCGGGCGGAGCGGCAGGCACCGGGCCCCCCGGGGCGGAGCGGCAGGCACCGGGCCCCCGGGCGGGGCGACAGGCACCGAGCCCCCAGGCGGGGCGACAGGCAACCGTGCCCCCAGGCGGGGCGACAGGCACCGTGCCCCCAGGCGGGCGACAGGCATCGTGCCCCCAGGCGGAGCGGCGGGCGCCGGACCCCCAGGCGGAGCGACAGGTTCTCGGGCCCTCAGGCGGAGCGGAAGGGGCGCGGACCCCCAGGCGGAGCGACAGGTCTCGGGCCTCAGACGGGAGCGGCGGGCGCCGGACCCCCCAGGAGGAGCGCGACAGGTTCTCGGGCCCTCAGGCGGAGCTAGCGGCGGGGCGCCGGACCCCCAGGTGGGAGCGACAGGTCTCGGGCCCTCAGGCGGAGCGGCGGGCGCCGGACCCCCAGGCGGAGCGACAGGTCTCGGGCCCATAGGCGGAGCGGCGTGGGCGCCGGACCCCCAGGAGGAGTCGACAGGTCTCGGGCCCTCAGGGCGGAGCGGCGGCGCCGGACCCCCAGATGGAGCGACAGGTCTCACGGGCCCTCAGGCGAGCGGCGGGCGCCGGACCCCCAGGTGGAGCACAGGTCTCGGGCTCCTCAGGCGGAGCGGCGGGCGCCGGGACCCCCAGGTGGAGCGACAGGTCTCGGGCCCTCAGGCGGAGCGGCGGGCGCCGGACCCCCAGGTGGAGCGACAGGTCTCGGGCCCTCAGGCGGGGCGGCGGGCGCCGGACCCCCAGATGGAGCGACAGGTCTCGGGCCCTCAAGGCGGGGCGGCGGGCGCCGGACCCCCAGGTGGAGCGACAGGTCTCGGACCCTCAGGCGGAGCGACAGGTTCAGGGCCCCCCAGGGCGGGCGGCGTGGCGCCGGATCCCCAGGCCCGGGAGGCGGCGGGCGCCTGGACCCCCAAGCGGAGCAACAGGTCTCGGGCCCCCAGGCGGAGCGGCGGGCCACCGAGTCACCAGCACGACAGTGGGCTCCGAGTCAACTGGTATGACCGCAGGCACTGGGTCAGACATTGTATGGTCTGGCTGGACAGCTGGGGCATCGGGTCACCAGGCATCAGGTCATTTGGCTCGACAGCGGGCACCGCGTCATCTGGCAAGGCAGTAGGGGCTCCGAGTCAACTGGTATGACCGCGGGCACTGGGTCAGACATTGGATCGTCTGACCGGACAGCGGGCATCGGGGTCACCCAGGCATCAGGTCATTTGGCTCGACCGCGGGCACCGCGTCATCTGGCAAGGCAGTGGGCTCCGAGTCAACTGGTATGACCGCAGGCACTGGGTCAGACATTGTATGGTCTGGCTGGACAGTGGGCACTGGGTCACCAGGCATCAGGTCATTTGGCTCGACAGCGGGCACCGAGTCATCTGGCAAGGCAGTGGGCTCCAAGTCAACTGGTATGACCGCGGGCACTGGGTCAGACATTGGATCGTCTGACTGGACAGCGGGCACTGGGTCACCAGGCATCAGGTCATTTGGCTCGACAGCGGGCACCGCGTCATCTGGCAAGGCAGTGGGCTCCAAGTCAACTGGTATGACCGCGGGCACACTGGGTCAGACATTGGATCGTCTGACTGGACAGCGGCACTGGGTCACCAGGCATCAGGTCATTTGGCTTCGACAGCGGGCACCGGTCATCTGGCAAGGCGTGGGCACCGGGGTCACCAGGCATTGGATCGTCTGGCTCGACAGCGGGCATCGGGTCACCAGGTATGACAGGGGCACTGGCGGTCACCAGGCATCAGGTCATTTGGCTTGCCAGCGGCACCGCGTCATCTGGCAAGGCAGTGGGCACCGGGTCACCTGGATCAACAGCGGGCATCGAGTCAACTGGCCTAATAGGATCGTTGGGCTGGATCAGTTCATCATGCTGAGTAGCGGCATCAGGCTGAATGCAGGCATCAGGCTGAGGAGAGGCTTCAGGCTGAGGAGAGGCTTCAGGCTGAGGAGAGGCTTCAGGCTGAGGAGAGGCTTCAGGCTGAAGAGAGGCATTCCGGCTGAAGAGAGGCATCCGGCTGAAGAGAGGCATCAGGCCGAGTAGAGGCTTCAGGCTGAGTAGAGGCTTTAGGCTGAGTAGAGGCTTCAGGCCGAGTCACGGAAGGCAGGCTCATCAACCGGTTTGGATACTGGCAGGATGGTATTGGTTGGAAAGAATTTTCGCTTTTTTCTGGTTTTAACTACTGGAGCACTGCAAGTAAACGCAGGTCTGCAAACGAATGGAGCACCTGGAGACAGAGAAAAACTGGAGGATGGAACAGGAGAGGGAGCAGTTGCTACAGAGGGCTCTTTTACAGGGTTAAAAGGCAGGATAGGTGCAGCGAGTGGGAACAGGGGACTGACATGCGGTAGATAGCAGGGCAGGAGGAGCTGGTGGGAATACAGGAGTAGAGTTAGAAGCAGGACTGGGTCTTTGTAAGCTGACTGAGGCTGGGTGCAACAAGTCTGTCCATGTCTGCAGTAGGGGTTGAACAAAGCTGAGCTTACACAAAGCCTGTCTGGTCAATGACTGCACTGCGTTGATACAATCTCTTAGTGTCTGTGGTGAACATGTGGAGTAACGCTCCAAAAGGTAACCCACATCATCCTCTAATAACCACACCAGGGACTCTACCTGGTCTGCACTAAATGGTGGCAAAAATTCATCCCTGCATTCGGGGGAACCAGATGAAAACCAACTCTGCACAAACCTCAATCAATGGCTGCACCTCAGAGAAACACTGTGCCCTGATCTACTAGAACATGAGCGAGCCGTATACATTCTAGCAATTCATCCCGGGTATACATCCTTCAGAGTTTGATAAGCATACTCCCTGTCATCAAACACTAGCAGATATAAATACTCAACCTCATCAAGATCCATCCTTCCCATCAACAAGCCAAGATGGCTTCCCTGTGCAGCCACTTCTGGTCAGGATTGGCCTTGGTGTAATGTCAGGGCTCCCAGGTATGACCAGAGATGTGTGACTGATGCAGGGGAAACGCAGACTTCAGAAATGTGATAAACAATATAATTTATTAACACTAACCATACAAACATAAACGCAGGGCAATACTAAACATAATACAGTGCAAACAAACCAAACCAACCACCCACAGATAACAGTACATACAAGCAAGCGTCGTCAGGCAGGCCGGGTCAATATCAATTGGGCAGGTAGGTACGGGGGGAGCAAGCAGAGAATGGTCGGGGTCACAGGCCAGGTTCAGCAGGTAGCAAGCAGCGAGGTACAGAGGGTCAGACAGAGGGGTGGTCAGGGTCACAAGCCAGGATCAGAGCAGGAGAAGTCAGCAGCAGTTCAGATCAGGGTCAGCGAAGGAACAGAAACAGGATGCAGGAACAGATACAGGGCCCAGGACAAACACAACACACCAAGGCAGAGTCTGCAAGTCTGGCCATCCCTTAAAATACCCCAGTATCATCAGTTCCAGGTGTTAGCTGGCTGAAAGGTTGAGTCTCTGATTGCTGGGAGCACCCGCTGGCCAGCCCTGGTACTGCAGATCAAAAAGGCAGGTGAGTCCCACCATTGCTGGCCAGTCCATTCCTAACAGTACCTTTGCTCATTCCTGCCAAAAAGTTAAATTTTAACCTCATCGGTCCACAGAACTTGTTTCCAAAATGCATCAGGCTTGTCTATATGTTCATTTGCAAAGTTCAAACGATGATTTTTGTGGTGAGGACGTAGAAGAGATTTTCTTCTGGTGACTCTTCCATGAAGACCATATTTGTACAAGTATCTCTTTATAGTGGAATAGTGTACCACAACTCCAGTGTCTGCCAGATCTTTCTGGAGGGATCGTGCAGTCAAACGTGGGTTTTGAATTGTTTTTCTCACAATCCTGTGAGCTGTTCTGTCTGATATTTTTCTTGGTCTTCCAGATCTTGCTTTAACTTCCACTGTTCCTGATGACTGCCATTTCTTAATTACATTCCGAACAGAGGATATTGACATCTGAAAACGCTTTGCTATCTTCTTATAGCCTTCTCCAGCTTTGTGAGAGCGTCAACTATTTTCAGTTTCAGTTTTCTAGACAACTGCTTAGAAGAACCCATGGTGCTGATTGTTGGGGCAAGGTCAGATGAGTCTGGGCATTTAAAACCTTTGAGATTGACATCACCTGGTCTTCCCAGACGATGATTGAGAACAATCCATGACACTGGCAGGTCTCAGCTTGGCAAAGGGGGCAGTGCATGCTATAAATTCTGCAGGGGTGCCCAAACTTTTGCAGACGCCATTTTTTTTGTTTTCTGTTATTTTGAAAGTGTAAATGATGGAAATAAAATCTAACTTTTGTTGACATATTATAAGAATGTCTAATCTGTAATTTGATGCCTTTTGGAGATTTTTCCATCTTTCCTTGGCTTCTTTATGCACATTAATACAAATTGTTAGCTGGGGTGCCCAAACTTTCGATCCCCACTGTATCTCTATTGAATACTAAGATAAGGTTGTTGTACAAAATACACAAACAGTGTATTCCAACACCTCCACTCAACAACTACTCCTTATATTAGTCCCATTTTGGATCTCTTGATCAGCAGCTCTGATCCTCTTTTGTTTCTCATGGGTTGGCAGTCTTTGCATCTCATCCCATGAATCTGGCTCTGGTTTTAATGCTATGCGAGTAACATAGGACAGACATTCTGCTGGGATGCCTTTATTGCTTCTGGTGGATTTCCTGATTGAAGCCTCTTCTGGCCTGGTTTCTTCTTTTTACAATATTTGTGTTGTCTGCGTTAATTTTTATTTCTGTGTCACTTTGTTGCTTATCTTCATATAACACTGATGTGGAATCTCCCTTAGTTTGAAGTGTTTTGTGTTAGTTCATGAAATTTTGAACACAGTGAATTTCATCGACAAATACACTTCTACTGATGGTTACCTTGTTTGTGTCTTGATGGAGAATTCTTTATCCCTTCTGAGATTCACTGTACCCCACAAGTACACCTTGTACAGTGTGGGGTGTAATGGTCCAACGCGTACTGGGCACACAAATAGCTGTGTATGTAGTGTATGTATTTGTTCATGTTACAAGTCTCCCATGCCATTTTGTCACAAGAAGGCATAGTCACAGTGACCTTTCCCCCCTTCTTCCTTCAGTTTATACAATACACAAACTTTTAGCCGATGCTAGGACTTCCTTATCAGATCTTAGAGGGGACAGAGTCAGATCCTCTAATGCCTATTAGCCTGAATCTACACCTCAGTCCACCAAACCCAATAAAAACATCAGACTCCGCAAGCCTGAGTAACCAAAATTTTAACAAAATAGTCGTAAATAGCTCAGCTAGGGAAATAGCCAATGCACATTCCTGATAATTGGTTATGTCAGGAAAGGCCTGACCATAGTGCAGGTGAAGTTCCACGGTGCACAAAATATGCGCATGCGCAGAGTCCTTACTAGCCAAACAGATGTGCAGGCTCTTGGACATAGGCGCGCACACGTGCGTGCAAGCATGCACACTCCGCGCGCATAACGGGAGCGCGCCTGTCACAAATGCTGGCGCCAAAAGGGCTATTTAAACTGGCTGCAGTAGTTGTCCCATTGCTGTATGGTCTTTTCCCTGCTCGTGTTCCCTGATTCCTGTGATTGACTCCTGATACCGAACCAGCTTGTTCCTGATATCTACTTGATTGATTGCTTCCAGCCCTGACCTCTGGCTTGCCTTGGATTATTCTTCTGTCTCTGCTTCTGTCTGATTGATCTTCCGTTGCTGACCTGGCCTGTGACCTGACTATTCTTCCTCCCTGCTGCTTAAGCCTGATCTGCCTGACCGATACCGAACCCAGCTCGTCTGACCCTGCATCCTCAGCACGCAGAGTATCCATCCATCCAGCACAACTGCATCAGAACCCTGCCTACAACTCATCAGCTCACCTGCTATTACCGGACTAATCTCAGGCACTCATACCCCACCGTGCCCCTGTGACCTCTGTCTCATCATCAGCGGTCCTTGAGCCGGAGTTGTACAGGAGGCCTGCCTCTTCACGTCAGGCTCACTATCCAGGTACGTGACAGGTTATCAGCCAACTCTAAAGCTCCAGTATATTTAACAACTCATAAAATAATGACATCACAGCCAAAATATAGACATATTACCTCCCTCAGTTAATTTGTAGTGTTTTGAGCCCAAACATCGCTATCCTTGGAGTACTGGGAACAGAACCAGCTCAATTCCTCACCTAGGCAAACTGGGCATCCAAAACCTGTTATAGCTATATTCATATTGAAGTTAAATTCAGACTGGACAATAATATGCATGTTAGCAGACTGTACCTGGTAGTTATTAGATATGAATACCTATAGAAAACTGTATCTGGGACATAGTTATAAATATAACGACATCCCAGAAACCACTCCTCAGATGCTTAATTGGTCAGATAGCCTCTGTCAACACCCCTTTGATACCACAGAAAAGGGGAATGCCAGGACATTTTGACAGCTCTCATTTTAACATCAAATCAAGCAACACCTAAGGGGACTTGTAAGAGCCACTGTAACATTTTTGCTTATTCACTGAACTCTGCTTAAACCAGGATTTGAAAGTATTCTCCATTTTCAACTCCTTATTATTTCTCTGTTGCTTTATTGTCTCTTTGTTTTCTTGTAACACCCATTTTTCTGTAAATATTTTTTTTTCACCATTTTGACCTTTTTCATTATTAAACCCTATTTTGAAAAGTGTTGAAATTGTCTCTAAGGCTTTTAATGCAAACTAAAAGAATCCCTGTCTCTTGAACAGTGCTACTGTATATGATGAATCTTTGAATATATTTATCTGTGGTGACGGTGTATGTACAGACTTTTATTTTTCATAATTGTTCTTGCTAATATTGTAAATGGTGATAGGCCGATCCTATCTGGTGACAGTTTAAAGAGTTAATTGCTTATTTAACTAAACCCAGTGACAATGGCTCTCAGTCTGTTGGCATCTAGATTGTGGTCCTGCAAGCTGGAAAATCTTTTTGTAGTGTGGGGGCTGAGAGTGGCATTCTTGCGTAAGTGACAGAGTGGGGTGAGGTAGACTAGTCTTTTGTCACACGTTGGTGAAGAGGGTGGTGGTCAGACACCCACG